AGAGGAGAGAGAGAGATAGAAACATCAATGATGAGAGTCATTGATGGGCTGCCTCCTGCACACCCCCGACTGGGGATCGAGCCCGCAACCCGGGCATGTGCCCTGACTAGGAATCGAACCCTGATCGCCTGGATCCTAGATTGACACTCAGCTGCTGAGCCACGCCCGGCTGGGCTAAATCACTTCTTGATTATGTCAGTATTGTTATTCTGAAAATTTTTTGTGTATAATATGAGAAAAAATATCTGATATTCTAAATATGTCATCTGTGCTGTCCTTGTAAACCAAGATTCTCATTGTGGAAAAAAGAAGATGCAATATAGAGAAGGTTAAGGAAACACTAAAATAGTATTCTGAACTCATGAGTTATTATTATTATTTTTTTAATCTTCACCTGAGGACATGCTTAGAGAGAGGAAGGGAGAGAGAGAAACATCTATTGGTTGCCTTCTGTGTATACGCTGACCGGGAATCGAACCAGCAATCCTTTTGTGCACAGGATGATGCTCAACCAACTGAGACACTCTGGCCAGACTCATGAGTTATTTTTATTTAAAAATATATACATGTATTTTCTAGTTCTGCCCACTGCAAAGACTTAGAAACAGTAGCAGTGAGCATCCTTAGTGCCCAGATTGTGATCTTGAAATACAGTTTCTCTCTGATCTAAACCAAAACTTTGTAGAAAAGTGGCTGATTCCAATTCTGGGGCATAATGAACCTAAAAACATCTGGTCTTTCAGGTAGTATGGACGCTATCAGAGTCATATCAAAAAGACTCAAGAACCAACTAAAAGAGGTTTCCACTGCCAAAGATAGCACAATTTAATCATTAACAAGGATAATAACTATAATGGATTAAAACACATTGATTAGGTCTTAAATCCAGGATTTCATTATGGTACTTAAAAGGAAAACTAGTTACCTTTGGAGGATGCCAGTGGGGACTGAATTACTCTTTTGAAAATTTAAATAAATGAAGCATTCATCTCACCTTTTCTATATGACATATACTATTGTATAACAAAATACTAAATATGTAAAGTTTATTTTTAGAGAACTTATTCCAACAAATCACTGATGTAGGAATGATAAAATGGGAATGTCATCATTTTGCAATCCCTAATGAAAAGGACGAGTACTCTCCTGAACAAAATCAGAGTTCTGTTAGGAAGAATGAAGAGGGGGTAGACACTGGATAGGTAACTAGCAGCGTCCTTCACTGTTAGCTTAGGTAGAGCATTTAGTGTTTCGTTACAAAGTGATTCTGGTTGGGATGGTTCAAAAAGCACATAATAGGTGATCACTAAATATTTGTTGAGTAAGTGAATGAATTGGCTTTAAAAATTTATAGTACATAATACTTCTCTTGAATCACCTCAGGTTTGTCAAGCACTGTTGCTGCTACATTGTGATTTTTGAGGTTTATATTATCCTTGAATTTTGTCACTTCAAATTCCATGTCTCTTAAACTCATTTCATCCCTCTTTTATAGTTTCCTTTTGACAGAACTTTGGGGAAATGTTTGTTTACCTGACTGACCTTCATACCAGTTAGGATTGTGCTTCAAGGTTGACACATCTGTGATGGTAATTGTAGTTTTAGAGTAGTAAGTGTTATCATGTTTTTCTCTTAAAAGAGCTGAGCCAAATGTAAAAATACCAAGGGTTTAACATTTTTTGATTAAGAGAAATATGAGTTAGCCGAGGTCTTAGTGCAGCTGCTTTATTTGTAGATGAAGAAACACAAGGATCAAAGTCAGTGATGTATCCAAAGATACACCAGGAGCTGAACCTAGGAATTTTGACTCTAACGTTACTCATTTTATTTTGCCATGTTGTTACTCAAATAAAAATCAGTTCAAATAACTGAAGAGAAATTCTCACTCATCACCCTCAAATGAAAACACAGGTGTCATTGCCTGGCCAGTGTGGTTGCTGAAAGGTTGCTGCTTGATTCCCTGTCAGGGCACATACCTGGGTTTCGAGTTTGATCTCTGGACGAGGAGCACACGGAAGGCAACTGATCGGTCGATGTTTCTCTCTCTCCTCCCCTTCCTCTCTCTGAGCAAGCAGGTCCTCTGGCGAAGATGAAAGAAAAATATATATGTACCTACATATCACTTTGGGGTTTGTTACTTTAAAATTAATTTTACATATAATGTGTAAACTTAAGGTGTACATCATGTTACTTTGACACACATATATACTGGGTGTCCCAAAAATATATATACATATAAGACACATTGTATATTGTAATATAGTTGCCACTGTACCAATATTTATCACATTACATACTTACAGTAAAATATCATCATAATGTCATTTTACCTTGGGTGAGAGTCATAATGAAATCCTGAGTTGCTTCTGAACCAAAATATATAGAAGAAATATTAAATTGTGTTTAGTAAACTCTTGATATTTGAAGTTATTTTTAAAGATGGTAATCTATATTTTAATTGTTAACGAAGATGTTGATTTAATTATATTTGCTGTTATACTGACCAGTCTCAATGGACAGGAATTTACTAAACCTACTTTATCAGTGGGAAAGGGAAGACATACAAATTAGGTAATTACTGTGATGTCTTTAATTTTGTTAACAGCATGTATAAATTAAATCACTAACAATGTAAAGAGGGAGGAGCAATACTTATACTGTAATCTCAGGTTCTGAATGGCTCTCAGTGGTTCTTGAATTTTTTATTTGCAACATGATTGAACATAAAAGAAATGGTGATTTATAATAAAAATTCACTCATTAAAGCAATAGGGACTTCTCCTTGTATAAAACATGTCCTACTTCATCTTACTTCTATCCATTCCGTTTAATTCTCATGAAATACATTATAACTCTGGTTTATCAACTTGGCAAGAATCTATTCAAATTTTTTGTAAAACTGTCTTGGTAAAACTTCATTTAGAATTGAGTTTTTTCAGTTGGCAGGGTGAGGTGATGGAAATGTAAGTAAAATTAGTACTTAAATGAATTCTGAAAACACTCTGCTCAGCTTGGCCAGTGTGGCTCAGCAGTAGAGCATCAGCCTGTGATCCAGGAGATTGAGGTTTGATTCCTGGTCAGGGCACATGCCCAGGTTTTGGGCTTGATCCCAGGTAGGGGGCATGCAGCAGGCAGCTTCAATGACTCTCATCATTGATGTTTCTCTCTCTCCCTTCCTCTCTCTGAAATCAATAGACATATTTAAACAAACAAACAGAAAAACCACTCTGCTCAGATTGTTTCTAAGCACAAGTGTATATACAATTTTGTTATCTTAGTTATAGGTTATGCCATTTACTAAATATGGCTTTTGTTTAAATTTTCACTATTAGTTACTCTATAAAAATTGGACATACGTAGCCAATAAGGTAAAAAGAATTGACAGATAAACCTAATAGTCTATTTGTAAAATATTAACTCCTGAAATATTAATACTGGCATTTAATAAAGTAAGTTTTAATAGCACCACATTGGGGAGTTTAATATAATTAAGCCTGATTTTTGGAAAAAGAATTTAATATTATAAGAATGTTTTGGTGAGAGAAAAAGGCAACATGGTCACAACTTTGTCAGAAATACACAAGACTCAGAGGAAGTAATCTAAAATGTTAGTAATGATTGTCTGTGGATATTAGGATTATGGTCACCTTTTCCCTCTTTTTCATTTTCTGTACAGAATTGTGTTACTTTTATAATCTGAATAAAATATTTAACATTTTCCCATTGCCATACTCATGTTGCCTCAATGAAACGAAGTGCTCAGTGACTTGAAAAGAAGCACAATTGTCAATTCTTCAAACAAATACAGTCTTTTGGAAATGTTTCATATAGTATTTTTAGTTTCATTTTTTTGAGCCACATTTTGAGCTTGAATAAATTATTTGAGCTGTATAAATATTTTCATTCCGTTTTGAACACTGAAGCTAAAGTATATTGCAGAAACTTGAGTCTTTCTACATAATAGTTTTTCAGTATCCAGAGTTTGGTACTCTGCTTCACTGTCAGATTTTATTTTTTATTGTTAAATGTCCAGTGACAAAAGTCACCTCTTTTAAGAGGGTAACTTCAAATGGAAATATGTATTATGTTAAGCCTTTTATATATCTTGAATACTTAGATTCATGTAAACTTTTTCTGATTTTTAGAGGAACAGAAGGAAAATGAAAAGAGGAAGAGTGAAGAGCAGCCAGTAGATTCAGAAAGTCGTCCTATACCCAATGCTCTGGAAGAAACTACTGTGAAAATAGAAAAAGAGGATGAAAAGGAACTTGTGAAACTGCCAGTCATAGTAAAGCTAGAAAAACCTTTGCTGGAAAGTGAGGGGAAAAAAATGATCAAAGAAGAAACTGATGCCTTCAAGGAAAATGTCAAACCCATTAAAGTTGAAGTGAAGGAATATAGAGCAGACCCTAAAGATATCAAAGGAAGCATGGAGAAGCCAGAGCCCGAGAGGCTGGAGTTTGGTGGCAACATTAAATCTTCTCAAGAAATTACTGAGAAGTCCACAGAAGAAACAGAGAAACTTAAAAATGACCAGCAGGCCAAGATACCACTAAAAAAACGAGAAATTAAACTGAGTGATGATTTTGACAGTCCAATCAAAGGACCTTTGTGTAAATCAGTTACTCCAACAAAAGAATTTTTGAAAGATGAAATAAAACAAGAGGAAGAGACTTGTAAAAGGGTCTCTACAATCACTGCTTTGAGTTATGAAGGGAAACAGCTGGTAAATGGAGAAGTTGGTGATGAAAAGGTAACTCCAAATTTTAAGACAGAGCAAATGGAGACAAAGTTTTATGATACAAAGGAAGATAGCTGTAGCCCCTGTAAGGATAAAGGTGTCGTCATGGAGGGAAATGGAGCAGAGTCCTTAAATTCCGTCATAACAAGTATAAAAATAGGTGATCTTGAGAAAGAAGGGGTCCCTTTAGGGAAAGATGCAGAAAGTTCAATATCAGATGTAGAGACCCAGAGTCCAAAAGAGCAGATAGTGGAAACTGTTCCTTCAGAAATGGAAACCTCTCTGGAGGCTTCTGAGATGGCCACAGATCTCTCTTTAAAAACTGCTTTATCTACTGCTGAATCCCATACCATGAAAGTTGAAGAGAAGTCTCCCAAAAGTAACAAGGATAAGCGCCCACCAGTTCTAGAATGTCTTGAAAAGTTGGAGAAGTCCAAAAAGACTTTTCTTGATAAGGACACACAAAGATTGAGTCCAATACCAGAGGAGGTACCAAAGAGTACTCCAGAATCAGTAAGGCCAGGCTCTCCCGAGGCAGCTGAAACTTCTTCACTGTCTAACATGGCTGGCCATTGTGAGAAACGGGACTCAGAAAAAGAAGTGGTAGAGTGTCAGAGCACAAGTTCTGCTGAAGGTCAGTCCCTGGAAAAAACAGACCCAGAAATCCTAAAAGAGGATTCCGAATCCATGAAAGTAGAAATGGATAACCTGGACAATGCCCAGACATCTGGTGCAGAGGACCTTTCTGAGACAAAAGGTTCTGTGCAAAAAAGTAAATTTAAATATAAGCTGATTCCTGAAGAAGAAACCACTACCCCAGAAAACACAGAGATAACCTCTGAGAGGCAAAAAGAGGGCATCAAATTAACAATTAGGATATCCAGTCGAAAGAAGAAGCCAGAGTCTCCTCCCAAAATTCTAGAACCAGAAACCACGCAAGAGAAGTCAGAAAAGGAAGAAGAGAAAGCAACTGTGGGTCGTACTTTAAGGAGGTCTCCAAGAATATCTAGACCCACAGCTAAAGCAGCTGAGATCAGAGATCAGAAAGCTGATAAAAAAAGAGGGGAAGGAGAAGATGAAGTGGAAGAAGAGTCAACAGCTTTGCAAAAAACAGACAAAAAGGAAAATTTGAAAAAAATGGAGAAAGATACAAATTCTAAAGTAAGCAAGGTAAAATATCTCCTACTCTGCATTTTAATTTTTATTGGAAATATTTTTCTGTAGGTGTTTGCAGCTTTTACTTTTGGCTAAAACAAGTTATTCAAAGAAAACTTTTTATAAAAATGTATCTTTCTATATCTGAGATGTCTTTTTGCAGTAGTTATCACCAGACATTTATTTCAGACTGTATAATCTCATCATCTTTTAAATTTTTTCTCTATTAAACGGGCAGTAAAGGAATATATTCTTTTTGTAAACTACTCAAATAATACCCAAACTATAGCATTAAAAGATGAAAATTTCCCATAAACACTATTAACAGTTTGTTTCCATTTTCCCATACATTCATATATATGTTCATAAATATCCATTCACTTAAAAAATATGTTGAATTAAATATATTTATTTTTCTCTGAGTTTTTCACTTATCAGTGTGTCTGAACTCTTTCCATGTCACTAAGATACAGTCTACCTTTTGGTTATTAATGGCCACATAGTATTCCATAGTGTGGATATACCTCAGTTTATTTGACTCCTCCCTTATTGATTGACATTTAGGTTGTTTCCAATTTTTCACTATTACAGGCAATGCTGCTTTGAAGATCATTTTGGACATGAGTGAGTATTTCTTTAGAATAGACTCCTAGAATTGGAATTGCTGGGCCAAGAGACATGTGTATTTTAAGTTTTGATAGCTATTGACACATTTCCAAAGATGGCCCCATTATGTACCCTCTCATTACATGTATGAGAGTGCCTGTATTCCCCAATTTTAAACATTAGTCTAAGAAGCCAGAATTTTTTTCTGATGCCCTCTTATTTTGAGCAAAATTCTGGTACAAGACTTTGGCTAGTTTATGGAAGTTTGTTATAATTAAAAGTGCTATTTTTGTTTTTAATTTATTTAAGCGATTAGATTGTTCTCCTTTATTTCCTAGAATACTGACTTTTTAATTCTTTAAAAAATGTTCCCCTTCTTCTAGAATTACTTTGATCTTTAATGGGGACTTATAGTATAGGAATTAATTAAAATATGAATTTAAAAATTGTGCAACCAGACAATAAAAAGCAGTTTACAACATTATAAACTTACTGTCTGAATAATATATTTTTTAAGTTTGTCAGAATTTTTATATGCATTTTTGACCCATTAAAAATTTTAAATTAATCTTTGATATGGGAATTTAAAATTTTGTATAACAAAATGTGAGAACATAGTCAGTGCTCTATTATAGAGCCTTTAAAATGTGCATGGCCTTTGACCCAGAATTCTCTTCAAGGAATTTATCCTAACCACAGATCTGTGTGTAAAAGTTTATATTTACAAGGATACAATTGTTTATGAAAGTGAAAAAATGGGAAACTACCTAAATGTCCGTCTAGTAGAGCATTAGATAAATACAACTACATGATGGCATATTATATAGTCATTCACAGTGATGTTAGGGAGAGTATTTTATGACTAGGGAAAATATTTATAAGACCGTATTTATTATAATACCCCCCAAAATAGAAAACACAATGGAAATATATACCAAAATTAAATAGTAGGTATATCTGTTGAAGAAGCTACAATAATTTTCCTTTTCTTTATGTATTGACTATTCTACAAGGGACATAGAAGTTTTTCTTTTTGCATTCTTATACCAAATTATTCCAATTTTTTTATTTTATACAAGGTAAAAACCAAAGGCAAAGTTCGATGGACTGGTTCTCGAACACGTGGCAGGTGGAAATATTCCAGCAACGATGAAAGTGAAGGGTCTGACAGTGAAAAGTCATCTGCAGCTTCAGAAGAAGAGGAAGAAAAGGAGAGTGAAGAAGCCGTCTTAGCAGATGATGATGAACCCTGCAAAAAATGTGGCCTTCCAAACCATCCTGAGCTAGTACGTAATCTTCATCTTTCATGCCCTGGTTTTCCAAAGAAGCCTAACTCTTCTGGGTTTGATCACAATTTGACATTTGTAGTGCTGCAGAGCTTGTGTGTGCAAAATGGTCTTTATTCCTATTTCTTAAATAACCCATTTCTGGGGAGGTCAGGATCCTGCTTTCATTCTGCCTAGGTAGCTATTGCTGTTTCCTCTTAATTAGGATACACTCCTAATCTCTTCTCACAAATCTGTGAAATTATTCAAATATTTCTCTTCTGTTCTTTTAAAAAAATTTTCTTCTTTCCCTTTAAGTTACTTTATAATGATATTTCTGAAGTTTCTCTGATCAGCTATGATCTCTGAAGGTGCTGCAGGCCTTTCTGTCACAACATACAAGTCAAGCAGTTAACCTAGTAGGGCTTGGAACTTTAGGAAATGGGCAGTTCTAAAAAGAAATTTAAGAGGACAAATTATAGACCAGATATATTCAGAAGAATAGTGACCGATTTACTTGGAACTTTCTTACCCAGGAAGTAAGTTCTTCAAAGGTAACCTAAATCAGGAAAACCAGTTCCTAACCTATATATACCTGCAGTTCATAAGTGCTTTCTAAAGAGCCTATTGAAGAAACACTCTTTGTTATGCCCAATTCTATGCAACTATTCTGTTCTTTTGAATACGTTTTACTTTAAAGGCAGGCTCCAACTATTAAGTAGAAAGAAATGTAAAGAAAGATGCTTCCACATGGGTAGAATTGTGTGGATCAGAAAAGTTTTGAGATCCTCTAAAGTTTGGAAAATTCATATGAAGTGGTTCTCCAAGGCTCTTTTTTCCTAGAAAGCAGTGTGGTGTGATGGGAAAAGCATGGACCAGACAGACTTGGCAGCAGATCCTGCTTCCACCACTTATCAGGTGCTCTCTTCTCTGTATCTTGATATCTTCATTGTAAAATGGGAATAATACCACATACTTCCTCTGAGGGTTGCTTTTAATGTTATGTAAAGTTGCCTTGCACATCTATTATGTGCTGGGTTAAAGTTTTTTGTGGTTTACTTGTTTTTTTCTTAATGTTAAACTCATATGTGGAAACTAAATTAATCGGTGAAGTTTATCATATCCCAGTAGCTTCAGATGGTTCAAGTAAAAGAACTTAGAACTAGATAATGACTGGAGAAGAGTAGATGCTGAAATTGTGCTGCAGAAGTCCCTTCTAAGCATTTTTATGACCATCAGACTGTGAAAGTTAAGTCAAGATTTTTGTGTGGAGAAAGGCCAAGAGAAGATACGAGACAGTGGTCTTTTCTGCCCTCTAAATAAAGTAAAAATCAACACTTGTATTCTTTCCCTGCCATTTCCTAATGTCTTTTTAAACTAAGAGAATGCATTTTAACTGAGGCAGCCATAGATGTCAGTGACAAAGGGGTGTGAGGAAATGAGAAGTGAAATGAGGTGAGCAGAAATGACAATGAGGAGATAAAGTTGCACCTTTCTTGGCACACACAGGATTTTTATTTAGTTAGTTATCTTAATAGCTGCTCTAAAAATCCTGTTGCTGGTTACTGTGCCAAAGAGAAATATCATTAGAAACTGAATATCCTAAATGGGTTTCTTATGCCATGTGTTTAAGGATAATCCTCAAATAAAAATGTCAAGCAACTATTATGTGTTAAGTGGTAGGGCAATGATTCTGAATTAGAAAGACATGGTACTTGTCCTCATTAAGCTTACAGCAGAAAAGCAGTAAATTCGTAGATGAGTATAGAACTCTGGGATTTTCCAGATGTTTTAATCAAAATATATGGATCATTGCCTGAAGCTTGGAAATCTTACATAGTAATATTTATTTTAATGGGATTTTACCTTTATTGAGGAATAAAGATAATTATTGTTTTAGAGATAAATTGATTTCTAAAAATTTAACTTTGTTATTTAAAATGTAGATTATGCTTTACCATAGAAACAATGTGATAAATGGAATCAGGTGCCCAGGTTCATCTACATATGCTTAAGTAATCAAACATTCTAACAGTCATATAACTGAAGTATTGAATTCTGGGTTTTGGCAGCAAATGGTGATGCATTGTTTGAAGAAGGGGGAGGATACTTTTTCACTTTTAAATCACTGTACACGTGTGCACATTCCACCCTTCTCCCTTCACCCACTGTAGTATGTGTTAGCAATTAGAAATTATTTTACATATATATTAGGTTTGAACAAGTAAATGAAGTGTAGATAATAGAAGCCAGCTTTCTCACTGTCAGAGAAAGAAGTTACAAATGAGCACGGCTGAAGGCTAGAGTAAATCCTGTGGTGCTGGATTAGAGCTGGAGATATTAGTATGAACTCATACTTATTTTAATATAGACACATGTGCACATGGATTGCTGTACACAGATGTATTTCCTAGCTCTGTCATCTGAGACATTTTAGAAGCAGTGATACCCATTAGCAGTGAGCATTCAACCTCCAATTCTTTGTTTCTAAATACCATTCTCCATTAAAAGAACCAGGGCTTCTGGGAGAAATGACTGATTCCTAAGCTTAGGCAGAGAAAATATAAATACACCTGGAGGATCCTGTAGTGCTGGAAAGTAAGGAAGTGCTTTAAAAACAGGATGCAAATGAATCCTACAGACACAGCCAAACTGGAAGAGCTCCCAGTGTGTCCATAGCTAGAACAATTTGAATTGGACATGCAGCAGTTTTATATTATAACCCAAAGAATAAAATAAATATTCATTAGTTCATCCTGATACAAATAAATAATTGAATAAATGAATAAATGTGGGGTAAGGGACATATTTTCTTTACAGAAGAATTCCAAATAACAAATATAAAAGGAATGAGGGAAATAGAGACTCACCATTAGAATACCACAGTAATAATTACTGCAAGCAAGATCCACTGATAAGTGCTAAAACTAGTAGGTGAGAATTGAAGGAAAAACAGGATATTTGCATAGCTTCATCATATTTTCTCCTAATTATTCATTACTGTGGCTGCTTTACCTTACATCTACAAATTCTTTGATACTCCTTCCTCTAAGGAGTGGAGCTTAATACACCCCCTCTTGAGTGTGGGCTGGACTTAATCACTTCTAATGAGAATAGAGTATGAAAAGAAAATTAGTAACTTTAAAGTGATGAAAACCAACAGACACTGTTAGAACCAAGTGATCAAGGTTAATTTCACCAGTAATAAGTCATATGGATATCATGTACCCCCAGATATGACACAGGGAGCAGTACACTTCATCTTTGTGGGATTCTTCTCTAAAATCTATAACCTTAGTCTAATCAAGAGAAGGCATCAGACAAGCCCCGGTTGAAGGAAGTCTACATGGTGTCTGACTGGTACTCTTCAAAACACTCAAAGTCATGGAAAATAAATAAAGACCAAGAAAATGTCATAGATTAGAGGAGCATAGGAGAAATGATTTAAATGCATGGATTGGATCCTGGAATCAGAAAAAAGCATTAGTGGGAAAAGTGGCAAAATCTGAATAAAGTCTGTTGTTGATTTAATAGTATTGTACTGATGTTAATTTCTTAGTTTTGGTAAATGTACCGTGGTTATGTAAGATGTTACCATTAGTGGAAGCTGAGTAGAGTTTACGGGAACTCTGTGCTATCTTTGCAACTCTTCTGTAAATCTAAATTTTTAAATAAGAAGTTGGTTTTTTTTAAGTCAAACATTCATGAAGGTACCATTTTAAGTTTTAGAAACTGGTCATCTTAAATCAAATAACAAAAAATTTAAACTTAAGACTTCATATTTGAACATGATGGTCCTAAATATAGTTCCCTTCCCCTCTTACCGAAGTTCCTTTAATATTTGAATTTACATGATAAAAGGAACCATGAATGATTCTTACAGATTGGTAATTGAAATGCTATTTGAAGTAGAAATTATTTGTATTTTTAAAATCCTATGTGTGGTAGGGTAGTTTGTGATACTTGAGCTTTATACAAAACTGTGATAAAAAATTTTTTGTTTATGACCCTCATGTCACACTAGAAAAGGATTATAACTAGTTCAGAAAGGACTTGCTAGTTTTACTTAATTTTGTAGTTTAACATTTTCTTAGTTTTTTATTTTAAATTAAAAAAATGGCATGTTAGATCCATACTTATCAGAGCTTTTTTTAAATTATGCTTTATGCAAATAGAGTATAGTATATTTCTTAGTATAGTACTAAGAAATACTGAAATGTCTTTATTTTAACATGAGTCATTGAATTTTAGTCATAGAGTTAGGTTGGTGTTAATATCTGGTTTATTTCAGATTCTTCTGTGTGACTCTTGCGACAGTGGCTACCACACTGCCTGCCTTCGCCCTCCTCTGATGATCATCCCCGATGGAGAATGGTTCTGCCCCCCTTGCCAACATGTACGACCCGGCACACCTCTGTTTTTTCAGTTTGTGGATTTATATTCAAATTAGTAATACTTCTTGATAGTTACTGAACATTTTAAATCTTCAAAACAATTTGTAAATATGGTTTACCTCTTATTTAAATTTCTGTGAAATTAGAAACTATTGAAAAGGCCACTCTTTACCATTATCTCTTAGGTCTTCCCTTAATTTTCTTCAAGAGCAATTCTCAGAAGACCTGTAATTTTTGTAAAATTAAAGTTTCTTTTTCCCCGTCACATTGTTAAAGGCACAAAGAGCTCCAAGTTAAGGTAATATACAATACAATAGATAGTTTCTGCCTGTTATATATTCCTTTGTACCATCCTCTTTTCATTTCTGCCTGCCTTCCTGCCTTCTGTCAGTAGTTTTGTGGATGGTTTCATGAATTATGCACGATTATGGTGGTACTATGAATAGAAATATGGATCCTATTTACCTCTTATCTTGAATCAGGTGAATTACTTCTGTAAGTTGAAAAACAGAATATTTTTGTGCCACTGCGCCCAAGAAGTCTTTTCTCTCACAAGCCCAGTCTCATTTTGGTTTAAAAATGATGGGCTATATTGTACTTCTCAGTGAAGTGGACTTCTGTGGCTTAGCATAGCTTTATCAGTTACATTCTTCAGCTCTATTTTCACTCAGTAATCATGTGGCATGGTTTAGTAAAGTTTTTTCTTTCTCTTTTTTAAAACTAGTGATTGGCACTGTTATATTTTGTACATATAACCCTCTCCCTTAAAAATGTCTTAGGATTTAAAAAATTTTTAATCACTGTTGTGTATACACATGGAACCAAATGATATTTTAAACATTGATTTCTGCCAGCAAGATAGGCATAGAATGTGTTTCTGGCAAGGTTCTAAGTTTCTCTAATATGTGCTTTACATTAAAGATACTATGCTCATCTTCAGTTCAGTGGATGTTGAGGCACCACTTTATTTAATTAAACACAAGGAACATTTCAGTGCTCATTCACTGTATGGCCCCTTATCAGCTCTCATAGCACACTATCCACCAGTTAACATGCAAGTGACAAATGATTGTGGAAAGGTATTAAAATGATATTCATCTCTTTGGCTGTTTCAGAAACTACTGTGTGAGAAATTAGAGGAACAATTGCAGGATTTGGATGTTGCCTTAAAGAAGAAGGAGCGTGCTGAACGCAGGTATTGTGTGTTAATATTTTACTTGGGAATTTGACGGCAGAATTCTCTTAACAGTATATATTTAGATTGATGGTCTGTCTAAAACAGGGATTGGCAAACTAACCTGTGGACCACACCTGCCCTGTTTTGGTTTTGTATTGCCCACTAACTAAGGATGTGTTTATTGTTTTTAAATGATTTTTAAAAAGGTCAAAGCAACAATCATATTTTATGACACCTGAAAATTATCTGTTCAGGTTTCATTGCCCTACAGTTTTTTGGAACACTGCCATGCTTATGTGTTATATATTGTCTGTGGCTGCTTTTGTACTACAGCAGCGGAGCTTAGTAGTTGCAACACAGACCTTATGACCCATCAAGCCCAATTTCTTACCTTCCTTTTATAGGAAAAGTTTGCCTACCCCTGACTTAAATATCTATCAGAACCTTCTCTGAATAAATATTGGTCAAAGCATTGCAGAGGATATGTACCTAAGTATGTAGTGAGTACAAGAAAACTGTAAGAACTAGTGTACGGTTTAGTTACCCGTGTCATGTTTTGGGTGGGCAGAATTCACACAAATGAAATTAAGAGCATTTAAATGCTGAACTGTGTCCCACTGACTATAAAAGATGCCTCCCTCTTCAACATGCCACTGCACTGTGATCTGAAGCAGTTGAGAAGGCTTGTTGGGGGAGGTAAAACTGGAGTTGAGCCTAATCTTTAAAAAGGGGCTCAGAATCAAGACAGCATGTTTATATTTATATTTATTTGTACCTTCTTTGGTTAATCTGTTGGTAAACATACATTTATACGTACTATGTACCAAACTGAAGAGAAAAGATGAGTAAGACAAAGCTCCCACTTCCATGGGGCTCACCCTCTATCAGAACACAGACATATGAGCCAGTGGTACAATTAGGTAGACAAACTGAGGTCTGTTCAGAGCAATAGAAGAACATTATAAAGGGGATTTGAGTTCTAGGGGTTGGGCTTATCAGGGACGTCCTTGGAAGATAGCTTGGGATTACATAGGTGGGCATGCAGAGAAAGGACATTTTAGGCCAAGAGCACAAATGTGATCAAAGACAAAATGGTAGGGGATGAAACTATAAAAGCGGATTGAGGCTAAATTGTGAACAGCTTTGCATACCTGGTTATGGAGTTTGCATTATTTTCTAAGGGCAGTGGGGGAGTCTTCAAAGGAGGGTTACACATAATCAGATTTTTATTTCAGGAAAAATACCCTGATAACAGTAAGAAGAGGGAATTAGAGTTGAGGCTGTTGCAGTAGAGCCTGTGAGAGCCAGTGAGGCCTGAACTAGGGCATTTGTGATAATAAGATGGAGATGATGAAGAGAGTTTTTAGAGGATTAGTCAGGACTTGATTCCCATTTGTACAAAGTATGAGAGATAACCTAAGCAATGTCTCCTGATTGGTCTTATTATCTTCATTTGTTCCTACTGTAACTTTTATCTGCTGTCACATAGTTGTCCCTCCTCACCTTCTCTGCCCCCCCCTTTCACCCCAGTTTAGTTTGCCTTAAGATCATTCTCTGATCTCACTGTGTGCAAAGGTGAACCTTAAAAATGGATTCACCCTCCAAATCCCATTTTTTTCTTTACTACTTAGTTGGAACTCTGTGGTTCAGAATGGATGGTACTTAGTTTAAAGGCAAAGTTCATCTCTAAAGTTGACTACAGATAAAAGTGCTTTAGTTTAAATAGGTCTTCTAAATATCTTTGTATTTAGAAACTGTGCAATAGTCCTATATAAAATTATCAGGGCTGTTGTGCTATTCAGAGTTGCTCCTGTTTTTATTTTTGGCACTGGAAAAGATCTACCTAAACATGCTTCGAATCAAATCATAATTGAAAATCAGATTGTCCTTGTGCCTTAGTCTTTCGGAAATCAGCCTGTCTTGAGAAGTGAGCAGTGTTCTTATGCTCTGAAGCTGATTTGACTCAGCAGTGTTGATGGCTAATAGTCTTATCCTTTAAGAGCTTGAAGAAAAATGTATTCTAAAAGGCAAGAATGTCAACCACTACAGATTTGTCTGTTACTCATATTGTATCCTAGTATGATGATGCTATACTTTTATATGTGGGAAGGGCGGTGAAAATTTTTTTACTATTGCCTCACACACTGTAGGCCGTGCTGCTGCAATTAAGAAATATTTTTAATTTTAGAAATTTATGTTAAAATGTGCCACAGCATTTTTTTATACAGTTGATCTCCCATTTACTAGTTCATTTGCTTTCTCTTTTACTCTTCCTTTACTTAAGTATCATTCTTTAAGAGCACATCTGTAATTGTGGCTTTACGTCACACACTAAATCCTATATGAAATTGAATCACAGAAAGGAGAGTGAAGTTATTGTTACAGGGAGACCGATCTGGCACAAGGCCAGTTAACTGAATTGTTGCTGTTTGTTAATTCTCCCCAATAATCTGGTTAACAAAGCTTTCATTATTTATAGCTCCTATTATACATGTATGAGTATGAATCTTAGGAGCTCTATATAGCAAAATATGTATGTTTCTAAAATAAATAATATATTAACTATAAATTCCAGGTGGCTTCATTTGTTTTTAAATGTGAACTTTTTTACTCATTTTTTTTTAACTATGAAATAATTTCTGTAGCACTCATCCTAGCAACTTAGAGCCTTGTTTATTCTCTGTGTCATAGTACAAGAGCATCTTTCCCCTAGTCATGCATGTATTCAGCACCTACTTTATACCAGGCAATGTAATCAACATGAAGTATATTATAAGGTCTCTACCTGAAAGGGCTCTGTACAGTCTGGTGGAAAAGAAGCATGTGCCAATGAGTAATCAGTGACTAGCGAGCAACTGTCTGCAGAGATGGAGCTCTGATGCTCTGTGATATCTGATGTTTCAGAAGTCCACTCAACTGATATATAAACATCCCTTTCAGAACTTGGTGCCAGAAATGATTTGGGAATTTAAATAGTTCTATACTTCCAGAGTACTATTTCTAGTGCCTTGCTAGTAGAGAGTTGGATTAATCAGGGTTGGAATTTTCCAGGTAATATAACAGAGGGAAGGAGAGAAAGAGACAAGGAATTGAAAGTGTATACAAAGGAGTATTTATAATGATGGACCGTGGAGTCTAAGCCAGGTAAGGGGGAAAGTAAGGACATGAAGGGAATAATGGACAGTGAAAAGAGGGTAGTCAATAGATAGAGATCCCACTGGAGTCAGGCAATTGTTGAAATCAGTGTACCAGAGGGAGTGAGCTGGAAAGTGAGCCAGTAAAAGTCAGAGAATAGGATCCCTGAGATGGAAATTTTAGAAGGGGTGTGGTTATAGCTAATGATAAAGTCTGGGCCCAATATGATCATAGAGCAAGTGGTGAGATGGAGTGGAAAAAGATGTATCTTTCCATAAGATTACTACTGAGCAAGAGAATGCTGTGATTAGAAATCATACCTACCTTTAAGATCCTACTCAAGTATATAAAGCCTTCCCAAATTTCTCAGCTCTTCAGACAAAATATCTTTTTCATGTTTCCATTGTACTTGTTCATAATGGACAGCAGTCAGTTGTTAATAATTGTAAGAGTAAGAATTGTGTCTTATTTACCTTTAGGTTTCCAAGCCTCTCACCAATCATGACCTAATGTGACTATGACTGTTCTCTTTTTTTCAGTTGAGTTAAGGAGAGAAATAATGGTCATGTGAAAGTAGAGATTTTGATGTATAAAAGATGAAACTGGTATTGCAGTAAACTTGGTTAGCGTAAGGACAGATGTGTCAAACATGTTCAGTAACAGAGAGCTCAAGTTCTGACTTATCCATGAAGCTGTCCCTATTCAGCTAGTACTGTTCTTGCCTTTCATATTTCTATTCAGTTCACTATACACTGGCATGTGTGTAAGAGCTCAGCTGTCCTTGGTGAATCAAATTAAATTTAGGAGAAACAGAGAAAGCATCAGTTGTATGTAGCCGTTTGTTACGTAAAGTTTGTTGAACTAAAACCAATAAAACTTTTTTTCTTTGAAACGAAGTTACGAAGATGTCATTAGTGTTCTAAAACCACACGAAGATATCTTCATGGTAGCTTCCTGGAGTACAGAGCCATGCGGCTACATTGCTTTTATCTTCTCTGTGAACAAGAAGTGAATGGTCTTAGTATCATTCACTGGGACCTTGATATGGTTCTGTTATATAGAATTATTTTTTATAGTGATATTTATTATCATGAGATTATAGTTGTGTATAAACCCGTACAGTATTACTAAAAACTTCCAGCATAACAAAGATCTAGTTTATTCTGTCAAAGTTAGCTTTCCGCCTCACCACTTTATCAGTGAGTGACAGCGTGACTTCACGATGTTTCCTTGTCTCTTTCAGTTACATATTTTATTTCACTGGTATAAGTCACTTTTCAAAAAATTGATTTTTGTTTATGGTTCACATAAATATTACATCCCCTGACTTGTTTTATAACTGAAAGTTTGTACTTTTTAAAATTTAATCCTCACCCAAGGATATTTTTCCATTGATTTTTAGAGAGGGAAGGGAAGGAGGAGAAGAGAGAGAGACAAGGAGAGAGGGAGAGGGGGAGGGAGAGAAACAACGATGTGAGGGGGGCACATTAATTGGTTGCCTCCCGACCAGGCACGTGCCCCGACCAGGGCTTGGGATCGAGTCTGCACCCGAGGTATGTGCCCTTGACCAGGAACCGAACCCGCAACCCTTTGGTCCACGGGCTGATACTCTAACCACTGAGCCAAACCAGCCAGGGCAAAGTTTGTACTTAATCCCCTTTCCGTTTTCCACCCAGCCTTCCACCCCCTTCCCTCCATATGAGCGACTCCTAAAGCTACAGTTTTCATACCTTTAGGAAGTTTCGTGCCACCCACAGATACCAGTACTGTAAGTTTTATAGATAATAGCTAACATGTTTGTAACCTAGCCTCTGCTGTTACCATAAAATTGTAATTTTAGTATTGTCTGTGTTAGTAATGTTTTCATAACACTTTTATTTTGAGCAAATCTCATTTCGTTTGTGTGCTTGTTTTTCACTTTTTAAAGGAAAGAACGCCTGGTGTATGTGGGTATCAGTATTGAAAACATCATTCCTCCACAAGTAAGTTTCTGGTTTATAGTATTTTTAAAGAGGAGATTGCCATAATTGTTGTAAAATTTATCCCACTTTATGTAATGTGAGTTTTAAATATTAGTAACAATGAAAATTTAGGACCTTAAAGAAATCACCCATAATCCCTCATGATTAAAATTATGTACATGCAGATAGCCACAAAATGTAATAATACATCCAAACCAAATTTACAGCTCATTCCAATGGAGTTTGTGGGGTTTTTTTTAAACCTTAAATTAGGTAACTTGTTTTTAGATACTTTATCTGCTGTTTATATAAAGTGTTTTAAGAATAGTTCAGGGAGATCTGGTTTTTCATTCTAGTCTTGTGGTTATCAGAACCTTTAATTTGTGTTCTTACAGTTTGGTTTCTTTTAAGGGATTTCATTGTTTTGGATTCATTACCCTAATTTATAATTAAGAAGGCTGTCTCATGCGTGAAAGTACATGTAGCATGATTTTTGTTCGAAATGAAGAAATTTTCTTAGTTCTATACACAGTTTCATTCGGATTTAATTAAATCACATGCTTAAATAACCTATCTTGGTTAGTTATTTTTCTTTAGCATCATGTCCCTTTCTTCTAAATACATTATTTCATTTTTCAGCTTATCTATTGAATATCTTATGTGCTAAATTTAATTATTTTTTAAAAATGTACTGATGGAAAAACTGCATCATGATTGTTTTTAAGAGGTCATTATAAACTCACAAAAACATAATTTTAATACAGAAGTGTTTCTTTTGATCATATATACATATATATATTTTTTAACATATCTTTATTGATTTCAGAGAGAGGAAGGGAGAGGGGGCGAGACAGACAGAAACATCAATGATGAGAGAGTCATTGATCGGCTGCCTCCTGCACGCCCCTGACTGGGGATCGGGCCCACAACCCGGCCATGTGCCCTGACCGGGAATCGAACTGTGATCTCCTGGATCCTAGGTGGATGCTCAACCTCTGAGCCACGCCTGGTCAGGCGATCATCAATATTTTTTTTAAATCTATACATAGTGTTGCTATGCTTATTCAGTTTTGGGGGGATCATCTTTTTCAAACCTTTCACATGTGCTGTCTAGAGGGTCATTAGAAACTAATTCCAAGGAACTTTGTTCTGTCCTGAGTAACAACATGTATTTATTTTTATATTTTAAAACCAGGAGCCAGATTTTCCTGAAGATCATGAAGAAAAGAAAAAAGATTCAAAAAAATCCAAAGCAAACTTGCTTGAAAGGAGATCAACAAGAACACGGAAATGTATAAGTTACAGGTATGAAATATGTGGAAATAGTTACACTGAAAGAGTGTAAAATGTTTTTAAAATTATACAGCATGATCCAGAAGTATATGCTTTTCCCATAACAGTGAGTATTAGCAGTTGTGTATTTATTTCTTAATTCCTGTCTTTAGAATCAAATTTGAGAGCAACAAGCATGATCTTTTCCAAATACAAATTTGCTCATGGCGTTCTTTTCTGCTTCACATACTTTGTCAGATTTCTGTAGCTCTCAGGATGGGGATCGATGCCTGTAACAAGGCATATGAGGCGCTGCACAGTTTGTTCTGTGCTTAGCTTTCCAGCTCCACCTCATCCATGTTTCCCCTGCTCTGTCAGCATTAGCAACATTGTCTTCTTTCAGTCCCTTTGTACATACTGTTTAACTCTGCGTAGAATTTTCCTCCCCTTTTTACTTTGTTAAAGTTCTCTTGATCAACTCCCTCTATTACATGATCTCATAGTAACCAGTTCTCCTTGAAAGCACTTATTATAGTTGTAATGATTGTGATTTTAATTATTTGATTAACATTTCTCTCCCCCACTGGACTATTAGCATGAAGGTAAGGACCATGTCTGTTTTATGCATCCCTCTGTTCTTTACATGAGCATAGTACTGGCAAATAGTAAATGTTCCATAAATGCCTATTGAAGGAATCAATAACTATAATCTGGTTTCCAGTCTGCTACCAGGAAGGAAGAGGGGGAGAAAAAAGAGAGAGATTTTTTTGATTGATTTTTTTCATTCATGCTTTTAGTAGCTAAACCTACACTAAACCTTATCTTCTGATTGTATACTAGTCTAGTATTCTTTCCATTTAACCTCCCTGTCTCAAATGACAAATAAATAATATTTTAATTACTTTAGACATTTTTTTGATCTGTGTTCTACTTAGACAACACCAAAACGGTCTTTTAACTTGAATAACTGGAGATGAATAACAAAGTTGATTTTATTAAACTTGGAGCTTGCTTGTGTGTAAACTTGTATCAGTGATCGTGGAAAAGTTCCCTGTGTATCATTTGCTGCTGTTGTTGTTAAAAATTTATGAAATGCAGTAGGACCAGTAAAAGGAAAATCCTTAATATACATTGCAGCAGGGTCTATCTTATTCTTAAAAAAAAAACAACAAAAAAAACCACAAAACTTTGAAAAATTAAAAGTTATATAAGATTATTATAACTAATGAAGTTAAAGCCTACTGATGAAACATGCAGGTGTAAAGACAGTTCTGCTCTAATAACATACACATTCCTAAAACTCACCATGCTGTGCAAAATCACACAGTAAAAACCATAGGGATTATGGGAAGTATGGCTACACACTCAAAAACTTTATTAGTGACACATTAAAAAAGAAAAAGATAGGAATCTAATAAAAATGGTAGTATCATTTGACACAAGTTAAATGGTTAAGAAATAATATAAACACTAAAATGCATGTCACATTTGATGTTGAAAAAAGCCCCAAAGTTTGTCTCTGGAAAAGAGGAGGGTTGTCGTTTGTAAATTATTGTGTAGCGGTAGACGACGGTTATTTGAAATCAGCCAGAAAGTTCTGACACCAGATGCAGATGGCTATAGCTTGTAACACACATGATGAGCTGAGGTAACTGGTAGATGTTTGAGGAGTATGTTTGGTGTATTTCTATGCATTAACCTAGTGTTTCTCACAAATGAAATTACTTATAAGCAAGAATGAAATACACGTTATGCTTGAATTATTTTGTAATGTATCAGTCACATTGGAACAAGTTTACATTTCAGCAATATATCAGAACAAGCATTGTATCAGAACTGTATTGTCTGTCGATCCTGATGTAATTGTGGTTAAGATAAACAGATTTATTAGTATTTCATCTTGGTTGAATATATATCCAGAAGTGGGATTCCAGGATCAGATAGTGGTTCTTTATTTTGAGGAGTCTCCATGCTGTTTTCCGTGGCAGCTGCACCATTTCGCATCCCGCCAGCAGCGTCCAGCGCTTCCAGGTTCTCTGTGTCCTCGTCAGCACTTGCTGACTTTTGTGTTTTTGATAGCGGCCGTCTCACCAGATGTGAGGTGGTATCTCGTCGCTTTTATTTGCATTTCCCTGATGGTTATGTTGAACATCACTTCATGTGCATATTAGGCATTTGAATGTCTTGTCACTTTTTATTTATTTTTGCCGATTGACTTTCTAAAGAAACTTGAGATGAATTAATAGTCTTTCATATGCTTTATTTAAGTTTCACTCTTCATATTTAAATTCTAAATACATCTAGAATTTACTTTTTACATGGGGTACAGTGGAACTGCTCTGAGTGTAAAATGTAAAGCACTTTAGTAAAATATCAGCACAGTAAAAGGACCCCCAAAAAAGAATATCATTTAATAATTATTTATTGGATTCTTATTGTTTATAACTGAGAAGATGACGCCAAAGTTGACTAGGGAGAGCATTGAATTAGATACCATGCCACTTACTAGCCAGGTATCTTTGAGTGGTCCATTCCCCTGGGTCTTGGTTGCCATGCCTGTGACGGTAGATTAACTCAGATGATCCCTTCATGTCTAAAATTATGTGGCAGTAATGTAGGAACCTTTGAGAAATTACATTTTTTAGCATAAAATGTATTGTGTGATTCTTTTATTTGTACCTACCTAGTTCCCAAAAGGATTTAAGGAAGGCATATAACCTTAGTGTAAGGCTCAACTTTTTAAGCATAACGCCAAATACAAAATCAGTATGGAAAGGATATTTGATTACATAAAAGTTAAGAAAGGTTCAAAAGCATTTACAAAAGAAAATGTTTGCAAAGAAATTTTGTAAAGGAATTAGAATTCAGAGGGAATGGGTTATGAATTTTAAAAATACATTGAATATAGTGTTTTTTCATGGTGGAAATACAGTACTTTTTTTAAAGATGGTGTCCGTTAAGGTTGTTGCATATCTTCAGACATTTTGTTACGGAATCAGTTATTAAGGAAAATAAAAGATTTATTTATGGCTAGAACTAGACAGGGTGACTGTTTTTGTTTGTTTATTTGGGGGGGGCTGATTGGAGATGTGATTGGCACACATTCTTTTTTTTTCTTTTTTTAAATGTCTTTATTGATTTCAGAGAGAGGAAGGGAGAGGGAGAGAGAGAGATAGAAACATCAGTGATGAGAAAGTCATTGATCGGCTGCCTCCTGCACGCCCCTGACTGGGGATCGAGCCCGCAACCCGGGCATGTGCCCCGACCAGGAATCAAACCCCGATCGCCTGGATCCCAGGTCCATGCTTAACCGCTGAACCACGCCCAGCCGGGCGGCACACATTCTTAATGGTAGCAGGGTCAGTTAGTTTTTCTTTCTCAGAAATTAAAAAAAACACCTTTTGGATAGAAATAATTGCAACATGTGACAAAGAGATTAAAATCTGTAATACATAAATAGCTCTTACGGCCCTGGCCTGGTGGCTCAGTTAGTTGGAGCTTCATCCTGTACAACAAAAGGTTGTGGGTTTGATTCCTGGTCTGGCTACATGTGGCAACTGATCAATATTTCTCTCTCTCCCTTCCTCTTTCAAAAAAAAAATTATCTCTCTCTCTCTCTCCTTGGGTGAGGATTTTTTAAAAAAAAGCTCTTAAAAATCAGTAAGAAAAGACACACTGGGTAATAAAATGGGCCAAGGACACAAACCTGTACTTGAAAAAGAATGACCAGTAAACATGAAAGTAATATTTGGCCTTACTCAGTAATCAAATTAGAATTAAAAGAACAAGAAAATAATTTTGCTTTTCCAAATTAGGAAAAAAATTTTAATGATAAAATTTACTTCATGGTTGTATTATAAATTGTTACAGCCTTTGAGGGAATGATTGTGTGCCCTTTAAGTTAACCGTTGTATTTGCAGTAAGAATTACCAAAGCAAACTTGTCCCCCAAAATCTCATAGTGGAACCAGAGCCATCTCCACAAAGAAAAGGACAGCATTGTAAGACACTGATGAAGTTCAGAGTGGATGAAATTTAATGAAGCAAATGAGGAGTAGGGCTCAGCGCCTAGCAGGGCCTGCAGCGGGGTCCGTATCAGGTCTGCACCGCACTGTGCGCACAGTGGCCTGTGTCCTTGCAAACTGAATTTAAAGTGGGTGTGTGGGGTGTTGTGTCCAGTCCCTTATCCAGGGCTCTGCATCTGGGATATAAATAAAGGCTGCTTTTTTTGTATTAAAAGTGATTTAGATCCTCCAGGCAAGAGTGGGATGTTTTATTCTTACTGATATAATTTCATGTATCTGAAGGTTCTGAAGGCCTCTGATTTTAGAAAACAAAGTTTCTCAGTAAGAAAGCAGTGGTCACACAAGAAAATAGGTTGTTATGCCATAGTACAGCTGCAGCATGTCCTTGGGAGAAATGTTTTCTGTTAACTTTGCATATGGGTCTGTTATTCTAGCCTGATGAATGGATGCACAGATTTTTATTTTCTCAGAATTTATCTTGAGGAAAAGCGAAGCTACAGCTATAAGAGTGTTTTTTATAGCATTGTTTATAATTGTGAAAAAATTGGAAGTGAACTATTTGAAATAATTATACACTGTAAGATAAGACACTACACAGCCCATAAAAATTATGTTGTAGAAGAAGAGTTCTTAACCTGAAACTTAAGCTATATGTAAAATTTTGTTTCTATTGGCATATATATTTTCCTAGAGAAAAAACCCATAGCTGTATTGAGTTTCTAAACTCACAAAGCAAAATATTTGGCTGTTAATCTTAACTCTGTTGTTCATCCACTGTGCGACTTTAATCCAATGCTGTCTAGTAGAATTCAGTGTAATTTTGGAAATGTTCTGTTTCTTTGCTATCCAGTCTGGTAGCCAATAGCCATATGTGACTGTCCAGCACTTGAAATAGAAGAGTAAGGAACAGAGTTTTTCATTTTAATTAATTAAATATAAGGAGCCACATGTCTAGTAATTGCTATATTAAGCATAGTTTTAGGCAGTTCACTTTATCTTTGTGATTGGCTCAGTACTAAAGTGAAAGGAGTTTTGTATATGGTGAAATCTTCGGAATCATCTAGTCTTAATCCTTTACTTTTTTTTTTACTTTTTTTTCTTTACTTTTTTTTTAATCTTTGAGCATTTATTCCATTATTGCTGGCAGGTAATGGGAGAGCGGTCAGTCACTCTGGAAATTCTGCTCTGCTTCCTTTTGCCAGTTGACTGCCTAATCCCTTAAGTTGGAAACAGCCTTGTGAGATAAAGTACATTTACCTAGTTTTAAAATTCTGACTGTCTGTATATGAATTTAGTAATAATAATAATATAACTTTCAGTAACAATAATAATATAGTTCTTACACTTAGTGTTATTTGTGGATACTAATTTTGTTAACGTACTTTGCCAAGTGATTTGTATAATTAGGGATTGGCAAACTATGCCTGTGGCCACATCCAGATAACTGCCAGTTTTTGTATAGCCCATGACCTGGGAGTGGCTTTTACATTTATAAATGGAGGAAAAAAGAACTAAAAGAAAATTATATGAAATTCAAATCACAATGTCCATAAATACAGTTATTTTGGAACACAGCCACATACTTTCACTTGTACTGCAGGGCAGACTTGAATAGTTACAACAGAGACCATAAGGTCTACAAAGCCTGGAGTATTTACTATTTGCCTTTTTACAAAAATATTTACTGATGCCTGCTCTAGATGATCTTTGAAAATAAAAAACAATTTATATATTAGATACTAATTTACAAAACCCAGTTTTACAAAAGAAATGGAGGCTAATATGAGTGAGGGGATGTAGTTCAAGTGACACAGTCCCAAAGTGAAAGAGAGCAGTTCCATATTAAGGCCTTTTTTACTTTGGAGGGAACCCTCCTGACCCATGTGGGCTGTAACCCAGGACAGGCTGTAATGTGATTATTGTGTATATTTTAGATTTGATGAGTTTGATGAAGCAATTGATGAAGCTATAGAAGATGATATCAAAGAGGCTGATGGAGGAGGTATGTGTTTACCATTCTCTCTTTTCCATATAACTTTGGCTAGTAAAATAACTGAGTAGTGAGCATTGTTTTTATGATCGCTACTGATGTTAACAGTGTGGACTACAGTGTCAGTGTGTGGACTCAGATCTTACTCATTATTTTAAAAGAGTTTTGTTTCATAATCTGGTGTAAAATGTAAATGTCCTCCAGTAGATTTAAAATTTACGTCTGCTTCCAAATGGAAAACCCAGTGAAACTTTCCTGTTGTCTTTTTATTTTTAGATCTCTACTGCTACAGAGTATCAAAAATTATGGATAATCAGACTCTAAATGATTTCTTTAAATTAACCTTTTAAAAATCGGTTTATTAATTTCATAGTCTTTAATACATGACATTAATATAGAATAATCTGAAGGTAATTTCATTTAAGAGATACGTAGCAGTTACCAGTGCTCCAGTGTGGAGCACTGTCATTTCCATTTAGTTTTACGAAAACTTTGGAAGGGATTCATAGTAAGTAGGTTGTTGGTAGGGGAGCTGAAAAAGTCACCAGCTTTTCCAGAGACGTGTGCCTTACTTATACCTTTGCTGCTGAATTCTCACTTTTTTAGTCCTGCAAACACTGTTTGTTTGTTTTAAAAACAATGAATTGGCCTCTTTCTGAAGCCATGTCCATCAAGAAGAGAATCTTGAGTCACTGCTAATAGGTATAAGGTTTCTTTTGGGGGTGGTGAAAATGTTTGGAATTAGTGAGTGGTGATGGTTGCACAACTTTGTGACTATACTAAAATCTCTGAATTATACACTTAAAACAGGTGAATATTATGGTATAGGAATTATATCAAAACGTAAGAAAAAGATGTTGTGCACAAGGTGAACTTCTATTTAGTAGGGCAAACGAATGCCAGCACTTTTCATGAGAGCTCCGTCAGCTGCAGTCCTGAGAAAACTGCATTATTTGTAGGAAGAAAATAAATCAAGTGAAGAGCTGCTAATAAGCACAAGTAAGGGCAGTCTCTAGATATTAAAGGGAAACTTAATAAACAGACAGTTGTCCCTCATCTTCTCTCCCTCTCTTCCCCTCAACCCCCCTCCCGATTTCAGGAGTTGGCCGAGGAAAAGATATCTCTACCATCACGGGTCACCGTGGGAAAGACATCTCTACTATTTTGGATGAAGAAAGAAAAGAAAATAAACGACCCCAGAGGGCTGCTGCTGCTCGCCGGAAGAAACGCCGGCGATTGAATGATCTGGACAGTGACAGCAACCTGGATGAAGAAGAGAGTGAGGATGAGTTCAAGATCAGTGATGGGTGCGTGGCCTGCTGGTACACACCAGTCCCCAAGGGCAGGCTTGAGCCGTGCAAGCAGAGGATGGCCAGGCTGTGGTGGGCTTCTGCTTTTCGTGCACAGGAACGATCTCTTCATTTTCAGGATGTTTAAAACAGATTTAAGAATGCAGGTCTTGGTTCTTTTTAGGTTAAAACAAAGTAGGTTTATGGATGTTTATTTAGTATTCAAAATTGTATTTCAGTTTCATTAACTGCAGTTGAGCGTTCTTTTGTTGTGTACTTCTGTGCCACCTTCTGCCGCCATGTCCATAAGAGGTTGCTAGTCAAATATGAGACATAGACAAGTATAAGTAATTAGATACTATTCTCTGGGGACCCTTAGAGGTTTGGCTGAGGTACGTACTCCAGTATGGAACGTCAGGAAAGTCTTCCCCGCGGAGCAGGTACAGAAACAATAATGCAGAGTTCTCCTCTCACATTGCTAGTGGAAGAACCAAGCATATAAACCACAGAAAAAGTCACTTTGCATGATTGCTACTAACATACAGGTGAGGCGTAGTTAGGGTACAGAGGAGAGTCAGATTCACGGAGGTCAGAGTGGAAATAAAGCCTGATGAAATCTGAAGAGTGAATAATTGGGCAGATGGATGAGTTTGGGATTAGAAGCAGGATGAGGAAAGAAGTTCTAAACAGAGAAGCCACATAAAATGCCATGGAATATTTAGGAACCTCCTGGCTGTCAGCATGACAGAAATATGGGAAAGAAGTAGAGTGCCCTGCTGGAGATGTGGCCACAGGAATTTGGACTCTGTCCTGAAGATGATGAAAACCCACTGAAGGGATTTAAACCCCTGACTAATAAGAGGTTTACACTTCAGAAAGATTCATCCTGGTATTCCTTTGAGGATGTATTGAAGGGAAATGATTTAGGAATTACAGAGGCTACTTGTACAATTGCTATAGTGGTTCAGGTGGGAGATTATTTGAGGTGTTACCTTTTTTTTTGAGGTGTTATCTTTAAGAAGTAGATTCAAGAGAAATTAGTAAATGATTCAATGTGAGAAATGAAAAGGGGAGCCCAGCCGGGCGTGGCTCAGTGGTTGAGTGTCGACCTAGGATCCAGGTGATTGGGGTTCGATTCCTGGTTAGGGCACATGCCCGGGTTGTGGGCTCGATCAGTGACGCTCTCATCATTGATGTTTCTCTCCCTCTCTCTCCCCCCTTTCCTCTCTCTGAAATCAATAAAAAAAAAAAAAGAAAGGAAAAAGGGAAAGTTAGAATAAAGACCATATTTCTGGGTTGAGTCACTGGGTGGGTGATAGACAGAAGAGAGGAGTAGGTTAGGAAATAATGAGTTTGCTTTTGGACATGTTGAATTTAAGGTACATGGGGGACATATCAAGAGACCAAAGCAATTTATGTTCAAGAGTCAGCATCAGTTCATCTTCATAACGCGTTCCAAGAAAAGGATAGGTAGCAGATCATTTCTTCGCTTTAGGAAGTTGATACAATTATTCAGATGTTATATTAAACATTATTTAATGATTCACTGGACTTGTTAGAACTTGAACTCAGAACTCTCAAAAGTGGGTTCACGGTTTTAAGTGTACCATCATAATTCATCTGGTTTCTCCTGGACAGATCTCAAGATGAGTTTGTTGTATCTGATGAAAACCCAGACGAAAGTGAAGAAGACCCACCATCTAATGATGACAGTGACACTGATTTCTGTAGCCGAAGACTGAGGCGACATCCCTCCCGGCCAATGAGGCAAAGCAGGCGTTTGCGGAGAAAAACCCCAAAGAAAAAGTATTCAGATGATGATGAAGAGGAGGAGTCTGAGGAGAACAGTAGAGACTCGGGTAAAATAATTTGTACCTACATCATACCAACTTAAATTCTTGTGATCTCTAGAGCTAAGAGTTTTTAAAATAAAATTTCTTTTCAATTGTAACATAAGCTTTCTGATAAAACTTTGAGTTTTATTATTATGACTCACTAGGAACTAAATTTTTCACATAAAGCACATTCTAAGAAAATACATACAGATGGATCTGTTAACTTCATACTAAATTCATTTTAGGATTGTGATGAATTCTTTTGGTGCCAAGTATTTCCATGCCTAGACTTTATCTTCATAGTGTTTTGGGGAATAATTTTCAGTAAGCTGAGAACATTTTTCTCAGATGTCTAGCTATTGGAGAAAGAAGCATTTTCAATTATTTCTAACCGATTTAGATCACAATCGGTGATTCATTAGTTTTTATAAATTCGCAGTGGTTATAGCTTATGCTTATACCTATTAACAATAAATGTACACACAGCAGCTTAAAGAATAGATATTAGTGCTTTGTGGAATTTGACAGATAGGTGGCTGAGGAAGTGGCACAGACAAGAGTATTATATCCTTGATTCTGGCCAGGCTTGTGGAGTTTTTATTTTGTTTATCTTTTTTTCTAAATGGAGACATTATGCCCCTTTATTAGTGATTATTTCCTAAGAACAGGACATTTTCTTACATAACCACAGTAAAATTATCAAAGTCATGAATTTTATATTAGTATAATACTGTTATCTAATCAACAGTACACATTCAGATATCATTAGGCGTCCTAGTTTTGTCCTTTATATCAATATTTTTCTTAGTCCAGGATCTAATCCATGAATACACATTGTTCTTATTCATGTCTCTCTAGTCTCCTTTAATCTGGAATTTTCCTCAGACTTTGTCTTTATTGTCCTTGACATTTTTGAAGACTACACTGTAGTTACATTATAAAATGTTCCTTAATTTGGGTTATGTTTCCTTGTGATCAAATTCAGATTCTACGTTTTTGCAGGAATAATACAGAGCTAATATATATACTCCAGGTCTCTTTATTATTTTTCTCTTTATAATTAATAAGTAAATTGTAGGAAGGTATTTTGAGACTCTGTAAATAGCCTGTCCTTTACCAGATTTTTTTACCCACTAGTTTTAACATTTGTTGATAATTTTCTAATTTTATCATTCCTTTTATATTTATATTTATATTCATTACTTGGTATTCTTAAGTGTTTTCCCTTCTATTTATTTCTTTATATCAGAATGTACTTGTGGATTCTTATTTTAGTCAGTGGATATAACATGCATGTTACCATCACTATTTAGGCTCAGTTTGTCCCAGATTTGTCCAGTGAGAACATCTTCAAACTATTGGCTAGCCATTTTGAAATGTCCGAATTCCATTAGAGAACAAGACTAGATGTCATAATTCAGTGGAAAATATTAGCATCCCGAAAAACTGTTGACATAGTGCCATAGTCTGACGGGTTTATTGATCAGAGGTGACAAGAACAGTGCTATTTCACCCGGCCGGCATGGCTCAGCAGTTGAGCATCGACCTGTGACCCAGGAGATCGTGGTTTGATTCCTAGTTAGGGTACATGCCCGGGTTGCAGCATGGGGTGTGCAGGAGGCAGCCATTCAATGACTCTCTCCTCGTTGATGTTTCTAACTCTCTCTCCCTCTCCCTTCCTCTCTCTGAAATCAATAAAGACATACTAAAAAAGAACAGTGCTATTTAGCAGTGCTTTGATAGTTTAAGTAGCCCTGTGTATTCAGCAGATTTTAATTCCATGTGGAAAAAGCCAAAAATATAACTCCAATTTTTTACTTCTTTGAATGAAACAGGCTCATCACTTTTCTGCAGTTAGAGACCTTATCCTCTGTGATCCTTTGTGAAGTTGTGACTGTAGCCATACAGCTACATACATAGGAATAGCAGGTTATTGTGAGGCAGAATAGTAACTATCTTCCAGGAAAAGCAGTTGTGGCAGCCTGGCAGCTGACTGGGTAACTCTTGGTTGAATGAGATAAGAATAATATAAAACATCTTTTCATCTTGAAGATTCTTTTTTTTTTTTTTTTACGTATCTTTATTGATTTCAGAGAGAGGAAAGGAGAGGGAAAGAGAGATAGAAACATCAATGATGAGATAGTCATTGATCGAGCCCGCAACCCGGGCATGTGCCCTGACCGGGAATCGAACCCCTATCGCCTGGATCCCAGGTCGACGCTCAACCGCTGAGCCATGCCCGGCCGGGCCATCTTGAGGATTGACTGCTAATAAGACATATTGGTGAAGTTTGGCATAAAAGCCCCAAAGATATACTCATATTATTAAAAAAATAATGGACTTAAAGTTATCATTCATTTAAAAATTGTTATGAATGAACTCTGCTTAGTAGCTTTGCATTTTTATAACCTAAGCTAACTATATTTCTATTTAATGGACTTAAATTTTGTACATCTTTTTCTTCCTTTTTTTAATAGAAAGTGATTTTAGCGATGACTTTAGTGATGATTATGTAGAAACTCGGCGAAGGCGGTCAAGGAGGAACCAGAAAAGACAAATTAACTACAAAGAAGATTCAGAGAGTGATGGTTCCCAGAAGAGTTTACGGCGTGGTAAAGAAATCAGACGAGTTCACAAACGCAGGCTTTCCAGCTCAGAGAGTGAGGGTAAGGAATAGATCTCCAATTACGGAAGTTTGGACAAGGCAGAAATAAAATGAACTCAGGATTGTGATTCTATACCATTTCTAAGAAATTCAATAAAACCAGAAATATCTTTGAGTCAAAACCCATTATTTTATGTCTGGTCACTATTTATTGTTTGTTTAAGTAAATGATACTTGATAAGATACAAAATTTTAAGGTCGCCATTGTAATAATTAAGTTCTTCATTGAAACTAGAAGTCTCAGAAAACTGTGATCTGAGCAAGATTTTTTCTGCTTCCATATTATATATGGCCCTCATTTTGATATAACCTCCTTTGATTTGATGACCTGAATAGCTGAACAGTTCCAAACCAAGGTGCTTACTGTTTCCACCTTGACAGTAACCTTCCATTGGTAGCTGTTTTATTTCTTAATAGCTGTAGCTGTGCCCCACTCAAGAAGTTCAGGAAAAACTCTAAAATAAGAATTTGTGACATCCATTTAGTCTTTTTTAAATCCTCACTCAAGGATCTGCTTATTGATTTGAGAGGGAGGGGGAGGGAGGGAGGCAGGCAGAAAGGCCGAGACAGAGAGGGAGAAACATTGATTGACTGCCTCCTCTATGCGCTCCGGCCAGTAATCGAACCCACAACCTTTCTGGTTCACGGGATGATGCTCCAACCAACTGAGCCACCTAGTCAGGGCACCATTTACTCTTTGCAGTAATGCCAGAATTCTTTCCAAGTTTATTTTACATAATTCTAACTCTCACCTTCCCCTCTTTCTTATATATTTAATTATCTGGGTTTTTTAAAAAATATATCTTTACTGATTTCAGAGAGAGGAAGGGAGGGGGTGAGAGAGAGAGAGAAACATCAATGACGAGAGAGTCACTGATCAGCTGCCTCCTGCAAGCCCCTCACTGGGGATGGAGCCCGCAACCTGGGCATGTGCCCTGACCGGGAATCGAACCACGACCTCCTGGATCCTAGGTTGATGCTCAACCGCTGAGGCAAACCCAGCTGGGATTGTTTGCTTTCATAGATCCTTGTCAATTAAGTTTGAGTCCATGCCAGGAGAGAAGGGGTGGGGAAATGTTTGGATAGGGAAGGCTAAAGAAGGAACGTGAACATCTGGTTGAGTATGTGTTATCTTGTGCCATCAAAACAAACAAAAATTCATAAATTCAACTATTAAAAACAAATACTTAGTGACCTATTCACTATTCTAGATACTGGGAATAGAAAAGTGAACAGAATAGCCAAAAACGTGTAACACCCTCATGTAACTCTTAGTAGGGGAAAAAGATAATAAACAAGATAAATAAGTTGAATATACAATACTTTAGGTGGAGATAAATGCTGTAGAGAAAAATGAGGGAGGAAATTGGGTTGAGAAAGTAGTTGGAATTTCAGATTGGCTACTACAGGATTATCTCACGAAGAAGAAAACATTTGAGTAAAGACCTGAAAGAAACGTTGGGTGTATCTCATGCAGTTGCGAGATGACGGTGAGTAAGACCAGGGGCAACAGCAAGTAAAGGGATGAAAAAGTCAATTATGGGTATATTTGGAAGGTAGACCCCAAGGATTTTCTGTGTGTCAGATGATGGAGCGAGTGGAAGAACAGAGTTGCCAGTAACTAAGACGGTGGCGTCCAGGACAGCATGAGTTTGAGACGGGGGTTTAGGAGCTCAGGTAACACATTAGGTTTGAGATGTCGGTTTGGAAACCCAAGCATAGACGGTGAGTAAGCAATCTGATACATGAGTCTGGAATTTAGGGGCTGCCTAAAGAGTTATCAGCGGATAGATACTATGCCAAGCTCTGAGGCTAGGTNACAAATGTTAGAGTTATCAGCGGATAGATACTATGCCAAGCTCTGAGGCTAGGTGAGATCACAGAGATGTGAGTATAGACAAGAGAAGGCATTTAAAGACCACCAAGGACATTTAAGAACATGGGATGAGAGGCAGCAGGGTGTTTCAGATGTCCAGAGTTGGGCGAGATTTCCCCAGGGCATCGGATCCTGCTCTTTCCTGAAATCATAGGCACACCGTGAACCATACTGGGCATTGTTACGGGGTTGAGGGGAGAAAAAGCAGGCCAGTTATTGAGGGGAAATACCGGTGTGCAAGCAAGTCTGACGGCCACTCGGTGGATACGGGGAGCTAAAGGAGAGCTGCCTGAACTTGCTTATGGCTAAACGTGCTGTTTGTTCTAGAGAGCTACCTGTCCAAGAACTCCGACAGCGAGGAGCTCGCTAAGGAGTCACAGCGGTCGGCTCGGAAGCGGGGTCGAAGCACAGATGAGTGTTCAGAGGCGGAGGCGGAGGCAGAGGCAGGCAAACCGTCCCGGAAACGGCTGCACCGCATCGAGACCGATGAGGAGAGCGGCGGCGACAGCGCCCGCGGGGACGCGGACCCGCCCGCCCGCGGCCAGGTAGCT